TTAATTCTAGCACCTGGACAAAAGCCTTTATCTCCTGATACTTATGATTCAATCGTATCTGCTGAACTTCCTGATCAAAAAAAACATCCTCATTTGTTTTCTATGGTGGTGAAACACATGATGCATGGACCTTGTGGTGAAATGAATCCAAACAACATTTGCATGAAGAATGGAAAATGCAAAAATCATTATCCCAAAAATTTTGAACCTATAACAAGATCTTCCAAAGACTCATACCCAATATACAAGCGTCGTGCTGATGGTAATCAAGTGAAAATCAGAGGGCAAATTTTGGATAACCGTTGGGTAGTTCCGTACAATCCATATCTTCTTGCCAAATATGATTGCCACATTAATGTGGAAATTTGTTCAACAATCAAAGCTGTCAAATATTTGTACAAGTATATTTACAAAGGCCATGATAAAATTGCATTCCATATTGTTCAAGAAAATCAATCAGAAATCATAGATGAAATCCAACAATTTCAGTCCGCAAGATGGATTTCACCTCCAGAGGCAATGTGGAGAATTTATGCATTCTCTTTGAATGACATATACCTTCCCACCAAATCAATGTGGGACAAGCCAATTTATCACCTTAAGGAATTTCCACCAAAACTTTATTTCCATGGAGCACACTTTGGCTTTAATTTCCCATTCACTCGGTAATGGTTTTGAGCAACCAAATATACCACGTGAATCACAACGCGGCATAGAACGCGTTACCACTTTGACCCGAGTAAATCGACACTCGGGGCCCACCTAAAAAATAGACCGAACTTAGGAAAAAATTCTGGTTTTATCCAGAATTTTATAACCATTTCCAACATTCACTACACGTCTTTTATTGGCTTTGTTTTTATTATTATTATGTTTTACGATTAGCAGAGACCGAGAGGATTGAAGGCCATGGGAAGCAGCATGGAGAGCGATTCAAAATGACGGTGAAGGATGGATGGGGAATTCCTTTGGATTTTTATTTCTCTTCTTTTTTCTTTTTTTCCTCTGATTTGACTGGGGGGTTGGGTGTTTCGGTTCACTTTCTTCTTATTTTTTGTATTAAATGGGGGAGTGGTGAGAGAGAGAAGAGGGTAATGTTATTTTGTGGGTTTGTATATAAGGTAGTAATTTTTTGATTGAGAATTGTGAATTCAATTTTTAGATATGTTATTTTGTGGGTAATGGTGATTGGATATTAAATTGAATAGGAAAGTGAATTAATGCTGTATTTGCTATTTGAACGAGAGTCATTATTTCATGTTAGTGCTATTCAGTTTTATTACAGGGTGTTCTTTTAGTTCAATCACATAAAATTAGTATGATTTCAAAAAAAAAAAAAAAGGTAAGACGATGTTTCTAAAACGCCACTATCATACTAACGGTTGGAATTTTTAAAATTTAAAAAACCTATGATAGCGTTTGAAAAACGTCGCTAAAATCATAGTGACGTCACAGTACCGTTAGGATAGGACATTCAGCAAAACGCCGCCTATTCTAATACAGCGACGTTTTCCAAACACCATGAAGCTATAGCGACGGCCATGTTGTTGGCATTTGGTACTAAACGTCACAAAAAGAATTAGCGATGTTTTTAGTACCTAGCTTAATTTCCAGCAGTGTTGGGTTGGGCTTCTATGATGGGATCTCAACTTGATAAAACTTGAGGGATCCATAGAGCCCACCATAGACCCAGTTTCGATGATTTGAACCATTCACTTTCTAGGACTCGTTCAGTAGTTCACACAACAAATCAAGATGATTGGATATCGGTAACTTTATGTTTGAATCAAATTTATATTACAAAAAATAAATCATAATTATTGAAATTATATTTGTTGTCCATTTTTTAAAATAAATATTATTCAAATACATAGTTGTCGATGTCTAATCATCTTGATTTTTGATATAAAATATTTTATCAAATGAAATCTAAATGCTCTCTCATATCGAGATCCCAACTTGAGAGTAGCGAAACCCTTACTAATTATCCTAACACTACTATTTAAAACTTTGCCATCTCTCTCTCTTGGTCACATTTTGATTCAGACATTGTCTAAGAGTTTGTCTCCTCATTCCCTATAGCTTTTGTAGTGACAATTCATCAACTAAACAAATAACAGAGATTGTTTTGCTTGGCAAATCAATATAAGTCACATGAAGAATTCGATCAACCTCAACTACAACAAAAAATCCGGGTTTGGTTTCGTTTTCGGCTTCATTTTATGGTTTCTATTGCTTTGTTTTCTCTCTTCAGCTTCATTTTCAGGCAACAACAACAACAATAGGTTCACCTTCATTGCCAATTATATAAATTCATTCATTTTTCAAGACTCCACTTCTTATTCTGTCACTGAGAATAAGGAAAACAGAGTTACTGATAGCAAGGATGGGGTTAAACAGGTTGAGAACACCACTCAACTTGTCTCCAAACATGTTTTGGATTCATGCTCTGGTTAATATATCTATGTTTATTATCTTCCTAGGAGATTCAACACAGACATTCTAAAGAATTGTTCATCACTAATCAAATGGTTTGATATTTGCAAGTATATATCAAACCTGGGTCTCGGTCCTCATGCCGCGGATTTTCATGGGATTTTCCAAAACAATATCAGTTGGTTTGAAACAAACCAATTTTTATTGGAAGTGATTTTCCACAACAGAATGAACAACTACAAGTGCTTAACCAACAATTCATCTTTGGCTTCAATCATTTATGTACCATTCTACGCTGGCCTTGACATCGGTCGATACCTTTGGGGTTTCAACACCTCAATAAGAGATGCAGCATCCATTGAATTAGACAAATGGGTTTCTGAGAAACCTGAGTGGAGTGAATATTGAGAAGACTTTGAGTTGGATATCTGAAGAAGGGACAACAATGAGGGAAGAGGTTGTGAGGCTGATTCCTAGAATCATATATGCAAATCCAATGTCAAGATTGGAGACCCTTGAAGATGCATTTGACATAGCAATTGGGGGAGTTCTTGATAGAGTAGAGAAAATTAGGCAAGAGATAGAGAGAGGGAAGAGTACTGAGTTTTGAATTTGCTGCTGAGAATAGTTTTTTTTTTTTGGATAATATTTTTTGGTTTGGAGAGAGATTGTATTTGGTTATTGTTTTGAAATGGCTTCTTTGGGTTTGAGATGGGATAAGCAACTTGATTGTATTTGTTTCTTCATTATTCTTGTACTAACTGAGGAAAACCAAAATATATTCAGCTTCTCTTATATTTATATGAAAAAAAAGTAACAATACAATTTTCGTAAGAACGATACACATATGTCAAAAAAAGAAAGGGGACCCCGAGATTTTTTTATTTTTTTATTTTATTTTATTTTTTTGGGTGCAGCAGAAGAGAAAGAAACAACAAAACACAGCTAAGGTGGGGGGAGATTCAGAGGCTAGATCCTCCGATACTCCGTTCCCACCATATCAGCTACAATCTGACTTCTGACTTCAAAAGGTGGTTCCTCTAGTCCCACTAGTGGCTCAACTTGATCAGCTCCCATGTTGGCGAGTTTATCAGCGCATTGGTTAGCTTCGTGCAAAACATGGCAGACGGAGCAGTTTCACCAATGGAGTAGATGGTGCAAGTTTTCCACAATTTATGTGTATGGGCAATTCTGAGGTGGCCCATTCATGAGTAACTCTTGAGCCATGGTAGAGTCTGTTTCGATGACGATTTCAGTGAGTCCTTTCTCCAGCACTATGGTAAGGCCTCTGTTGATGCCCCACATATGACTATAGCACGTCTCTAACTTCCCAAAGAATCTGCACGGCTCGGTTTGGGGCGATGATTTTTAGAAATATTATTATCATTCACAATATAATCCTAAAATATTATTTGCAACCTAAGAATTGTTTACATAAATGTTTAGAATTAGTTCCACCACTATACAATAACGTACTTGTAAAAGTACCGAAATGTGACTCATGTATATGTTTAGTAAGATATTTGAGTGTTTATGGTGGTTAACAAATTATATATATATAATCGGTATGGTATATAATTATAAAATCACAGATTGAATCATGAAGTACAGTTTAAATATTTTAAAATTCAAGGCCAAATCGTCGAGTGAGAAAACCATACTAAATCGAGCAGTTTAGTTTTGATCGGATCGATTTGCGATTTTTCTTTTTTTGCTCAGCCATAATCTCACTTTTTTTTTAATTAAATAATCTAAAAGTAAATAAATAAATTTAAAATTACAACAAAACACAATTAGTCAACTTCTTTTAAGAAAATAAGTTAAAATAGGATAATGATATATAGCTGAAAATGAAAATTACATGAGTATCAGTTGATTCACAGTAAGTATGAAAACATAGTTGACTAATGGTTATATTAAAGTTTTTTCTTGCAGCTATTAATTATTTTATTTTAAAAAAAATAAATATTAATGATTGATTACCCATACATATTCTCAACACTACCAATACTATTACTAATTAATCTCCTAATACTGCTATTTAAAACTCTGTCAATCTCTCTCTGTTGGTCACATTTTGATTGAGCCATTGTCTAACAGAGATTGTTTTAATTAAAAAATCAATACAAGTCACATGAAGAATTCTATCAATCTCACCACCTGCAACAACAATTCCTGGTTTGGTTTCGTTTTCTTCTTCATTTCACGGTTTCTATTGCTTTGTTTTTTCTCTTCAGCTTCATTTTCAGGTAGCAACAACAACAATTTCTTTGCCAACTATGCAAAAATTCATTCATTTTTCAAGACTCCAACAGCTGGAAATTTGACTTTTAGAGGCGTTTAAAAAACACTGCTAATACTTTTTGCGACGTTTAGTACTAAGCGCCGAAGATGCGGCCATCGCTGTATCTTTATGGCGCTTTAAAAGCGTCGTTATATTAGTATAGGTGGCGTTTTCTACAAACGCCGCTAAATGCTACATAATCATAAAATGACATCACGCCAGTATTTTGCGACGTTTTAAAAACGCCGTGATAACTTTTTTCTATTTTAAAAATATAATCTCTGGCACTATACTATAATGGCGTTTTGAAAAAGGCAGTTATAGCTTCATGTTTATTCTTTTTTGAAATTGTACTAATTCTTTGAGTTATAACTAAAAAAAGTACCTGTAATAAAGTTGAAAAATAGCAATAATATGCTTTTTTTTCTTTTTATTTTTATGTTTTTCAAAATACACCATAAGGATACTAATTGATTGAATACAAGAGCTTTATGCTAATGCTCAAATTCATTAAATTAGAGGTAGAAACAACAAAGAGAACACAATCCACAAAAGATGGGTAAAAAATAAACATATCTGCATCACCAGTAGTTTACTATTTCTGATTCAACATACAAGATACATGATACATGATACTATTTCCAAATTCAAGACAATGTAATCAACATACATAATACTCAATCAGATTCCAGACTTTCACAGACTAATAAGGTACCGAATTGGTGAAGTTTGAGATTATTCTTCATTGTATCACAGCACCTCATGGTTCAACCTTCAATTAATATACACTTTGGATAACAACAAACAAACAAACATTAATATACAATTTGGTTAACAACAAACAAACAAACAAACAAATAACTACAATACATTACATCTGCAATCCACATAGCATTTATCCTCAGGATGTGAAGTGAAGAATAGGCATACTGCCTCCCCATTACATAATTTATACATGTATAAATAAGCAAATACTTTTGGCGCTAGATGATTTATTTAGTGACCGAAGTTCAAAAATCCATAATTTTGTGCTTGCATTGCCATAGGGAAGAATCATACCTATTTGTGTCCTCCTCAACAGTTAAATCCCCTGCAAAGTCTACCAAATCAAATACAGATTTCTGGGAATCATTTGTTCCACCAAATGACTGACCCTACACACATAATTAGGCATGTATGTGCATAAATAAAAATCAAGAGAATAAAGAGTGAGCATAAACAGCAGGCTGAGAAAAAAGGTGATATTTTGACATTTGTATTGTGTTACCAGTACTCATGTATGAAGTCATATGATGCACTAGAAAGGTGAAACACTTTACCAGTTTAGCTGTTGCAACCTCTACCATCTTATTCAACAAATCCAATGTTCAATAGGTATACCTATATATAGAGAGAGACAGACAGGGGGACAGAGACGAAAACATGTCAGAATATGAGAGAAGTACATTGTGTGCATTCTCTGTATGCACTCAACAAACAAGAAGCAATAATCATAAATCCAAGTGCAC